GTGGGTGGGTGGGCGACGGAGTCCTCAGCCAGGACCCTCCGGGCGGAGGCAGAGAGTTTCTGGTGGCTGGGGTACCCCAGCAGCTCCGGACGTGCCGACAGGACCCTCTCAACCTGACGGCAGATCATGAGCTTGGTGGTAGGGGTGGGAGACCACCGGAGCATCATCAAAGCCCMGCTGATCAGGACGTGAGTGATCAGGAGCTCCTCCAGCAGCAARCACGGGACCGGCTTCCCCAAAGCAGCTGAGGAAAAACCGGTCGTGGGGAAACCAGTGGACAGGTCGCAGTCATCCGGTAGTGGGGAGAAAAAATATCTGTCTGTGGGCTGGGTGTTTGGTCTGATCATTCAGACACGATCCAGACTTAAAAAGGTAACCCAGGGCACAGACACTCAAAGTACTCAAAAAAAGGTTTTAATAACAAAAAGGGGCTGACAAGCAGCTCAAAAACACTTACATTCACGTAGCATAACTTAGGACTTCAAAACTCTCTTAGGGACCAAACAGACTGACAACACAGTACAATGATCAGACTGAAGACAGGACACCAAATATAAAAGTAAACTAATGAGGGCAAACTAGAAACACCTGGGAGGAACACAAGGGCAATCAGGTGTGCAGAGGCAGGGCAGCTGCACAGAGGAACACAAGGGAACACTGAAACACTAGGATAAACAAAGCAAAATTAACTCAGACCATGACACTTTTGACAATAAAAACAGAACAAAAAATATCAAATCTCTCTTAAGAACTCTTAAATAACATTTTTTATAAGTTGAATTTCAAAATAATTTAAAAACAGATTTAATTTTGTAATGATTTAAAACATTTATTAGATTATTTTTTTTAATTTTGTGTTTTTTTCTTAACTTCCCTCCTGCTTTCTTAGTTCCCCCTGGCAGCCCCCATGTTGAAAAACACTGGTGTCGCTAACAATGATCCCTAACACATGCTGATTGCTAGTTCCAATTAAGCTAAAAATAATAACAGTTTCTAAATCTACAAAAGGCTATAAGATAGCCAGAGTTAAACATACAAACTAAATTTGTGCAGTAGTATCTGAGAAACAATTAACAAAATCTAAATTTAAATACAAAATCCAAGATGACGACCAAAACTAATTTTAAATGGCTACCACTTAGTTATTTTTAAACATAGTGAGATGAAATTTGGTGTGGTGAGAGCTTGTGTTTTTCCACAACCTTGCACTGAGGTTAATATTTTTTATTGTATGTTTAGTTTTTGTTAGTGGAGTTAAAGTTAGCAGAAGCTAATGGGTCTGCTAACGCGTTCCAAAGGTAGCAAAGACACTAATCCACTAAGTGAAACATTAGCTTAGATATAGCAGTGTAGCAGAACTCTGTGCACCACTGCCAGTAATCAAAATTTTGTAATTGTAGATTTGTTAATCTTTTTTTTAAGTTCTTCTTTTTCCTCACGTCATTGTTTTTTGTTCGGTCCTTGTTTTCTGCTCCATTAACTTTCTGGTTCGTTGTTTTCTGGCAGGTTTGCTGTTAGCTGCTAATCAGCTAACAGCAGAACTTGTTTTTTATTTAAGAGATTAGCTTTTTTCACAAACTTTGAGAACCGTTTGCAGACAAATTACCTTATGCAAAGATTGTTCAAATTAAATTAGTTGTTTGTTTGAAGTTGTTTTTTAAAAAGGGGCAGATATAAGATTATTTTCTTCTTTCTGCACAGTTTTCATTCATTAATTGATTTACTTACTWTACTTACAAAAACAAGCTAACATCAACAGGTGTGTCCGTCCTATTAGTCTTCAGCTAGAAGGAGATGAATATGTGAGACACAGACTGAGAGATAGTTGACTTAGCGGTTAGTGTTAGCAAGTAATTTTAACTTGTTGAGCTTCTGATAGTTTTTTTACGTTTTCTGTTGTATCACATAATTATCACGTAATTAAAAATTGTATCACGTAATTAAAAATCTAAATTTTTAATTATGGATGATGAGTTAGCGAATCTTACTTTTAAGTTTTTAGTTGTTTAAAAATAATTTGACCAATATCTGTTCAGTCCCACTTCTTTAGTCTCCTCTTTCTCTTCTCGCAAAGGAAGTGGAGGAAAACATCATTAAGCTTGAACGACCTGTGGAGGCAGCTCTAGTCCACAAAGACGAGGGCGTGTCAGCTGCTCGGCCTTTGGAGAGCCAAAGGATCCAGGAGACAGCTGCCCTCCTCACTACCAACTGGGACAAACTGAACAAGCTCCACAAGGACAGACTCAAGTAAGTCCAAAACCACGAGGTTAATACGGGGTGGGTTTGTATGCAAATTAAACTTCTTATTTTTCATATAAATTAAAGTTCTGGTCAAAATGGATAGCATTCCAGGAGGAACAGGAAACCTGGGTACCAGGACATGAATCTGAGAAACATGGTTGTGCTCCAGAGTCAATGGGCCTCATGCAAGAACATGTTCGTATTCTTATCCTAAATTTCTCTTACTTTTGTTCGTACAAAGGGTTCGTACGAACATGTCACGTCAGATT